TTGGGAGGGGAAAAGAGTGCAACAATGAATGAATGGAAATCCAATGTCTCTGTAAATTTTCATTGAAATTAATAATAAATTTAAAAAAAGAAATTATGCTAGAAAGTGGCAATTATAGACATGTATTATTTATGACATATAATTTTTTTAGGAATTAGTACAGAAAGGAGTGAGTGCGGTGCTGTAATAGTAAAAGCCAGGGTGCGTCACTTCTATTAGAATAATTAGCAATCTTGCCATTGACGATATCATTTTAGTAAAGCTAATCTGCAGAAAACTAGCCTTTTAAAACACCTGCAGTAATGTGAAAAGAATGTTTTGTGTTATCTCAGGCAAAAAGACTCTCCTGCAACTAAGAGATAGGATAATAGGAGACCAATCTCTCATGTGAGGAACTTCACCTCACATATGTGGAGCATGATGTTAGAAGAGGCCAAGGTTTGGAGAAGGATAGCAAGCTTGGAAAGGCGAAGTGTCAGTGAAAGAGAGGAAAACCCTCAACAAGATGGTTTGACACAGTGACTGTAACAGGCTCAAGTGTATCAGAGATAATGGGGATGGCACAGATTAGCCAGATGCTCAGATCCATTCTCCGTGGGGTTGCTGTGAGTGGGAGTCTACCAGATAGCACCTAATAACAACCACTTTTCAATGTACCCTGCACTAAGGTAAGATTAATATTGTTTATGATCTCCAAAGCAGGGGTGGGGGGGGAATAAATATCCCATTACCCTTTCCTGTCTGTTGCTGGAATCTTTGACCAAGACATGCATTCCTTAAGCTGTGAACAGATGGATGGTGCCAACTATCTCTAGGACATTGATGAACCCAGATCAACTAGTCTGAGACCACTGATCAAACACCTGGATAGAAGCCACTAGGAAAATGTCACTGTCTTTTCTCTGCTCTATTTAATCCCGCCAGATCTCCATGCAGGGGAGACACATTTGGGAAGCTCATATTCCTCGTACCCTAGTCAATAAATAATAAAAAAGTCTGTTTTCCCACCCCATCACTTGGCTCAAAGACACTTTTTTTCACCCACACAAGGCAGCTTTGCAGTGATAATATTGGAGGACTTCATTTTCCCTTGTAGTAAAATTTAGGCATGAAAGTTTTCCTCTCGTTATTATTAACAATTTTAATAAGCTATGACTATATTCTTTGAGTATCCTAGACATTCTTAAATTGCAACCTCAAGCAAGTAACTTACTTTTTAAAATCACTTAACTTCCTAAGGTTTTTGGACTATATATCAGCAAAAAAACCCAAAGAATTAAACAATGGAGAGTGCCATAACATTTGAATTCATTTACATTGACAGTTTTTAAAAAGACAAGAATGAACGTGCTACTTCGAAAAATTTATTTTTGAAAAATTTATTATTTATTTATTATTTAAATAAATTTGACACTAAAGTGAATTGAAATGCCATTCCTCAACTCTACAAAATATTCGTAATCAACGCCATTGCACGCATCCTTCATTCAAAAGCTATACCGTTTTACAGTACTTACCCAAGACTGACTTCAATTACTTACTGTAGCACTACAACTGAAGCGTGTTTGCTGGGAAACAAAATGACTTAGTACACCTGATCAGTAAGGCCAGCTCAATTTATCATGAAGGTTGTTTGATTAATTCCTCGGAAACCGCAGCATATGTTCATTACTTTTCTTTGAAAGGATTAACTCAATCTGGTTAATGATCAATGTTGAAACATGAAGGAATGGAAAGATAAAACAATAAAAGAATCTTTAAATTATTAAATTTCTATTTTATTTCATCCATTATTCTCACCCTTTTATAATAAGTAGAAACATAATTTGGAAGACTACGCCAGTGGTTATAAATTTGCTGGTAATTAGTTCTTTTTTGCTCTCCAAAGACTCTCACATCGCATTACTAACGTGCCCTCTCATAAATACTGCAGAAAGCACATGAAAGAATAAAGCTAAATCAAGTCCAGAATGCAAAGACAAATTACTGCCCATTTACAGAGTTCTCAACAATCCATCAAATTATACAACAGTCAGAGGAGTTTCACGTGGATGCATTGCCTCCTTAAATCTTAAGGAAAAATACTCTGTTTTGAAGAGATAGATATCCATGTTCAGCCAAAAAAAAAAAAAAAATCCAACCAATCAACAGAAAAAAAACACAACTCAACCCTCAGATTAAGATTATTTCTTTACTAAACTATATCAGCATAACACTAGTAAACATAGGTAATTTAACAGTAAACATTAGGCTTACTTTCATATGTTTTAAGTGGTCTACCTGATTTTTCCCTACCAAAAAAAGTCATCAAGATATGGAAGCACGTTTTGTTATAATACTTTGCTTCGTCTTCTTGAACTGCCTTTTTGAATCTTCTGTTCATCTCTTTCACTTTGACATTTCTTCCCTTAGTTTTGGCTTCTTAACATTCTAGTGCAACATTCGTAGTCTTTTCTGACATCTGGTTTAATTTCTTATTTCTCCTCTGTCTTTGTAAAGACCTTTAGTTTTCTTCATGGATGGTTATTTTTGATGCTATCCCACAATTCCTCTGATCTCCAATCATTAGTGTTTAAGGTTCCTCAGCTGTTCTTAAAGTTACTCTTAAATTCAGGTGGGATAGACTCATGATTGTATTTTGGTTTTTGTGAACTTGTTTTCATTTTCTTCAGCTTCATTTTGAACTTGCACATGAGTAATTGATGATCTATTCCAAAGTCAGCACCTGACCTGGTTTTGACTGTTGTTATTGAGCTTCTCCAGCATAAGAACAACAACAACAACAAATAACACAAGAGGAGATTTCTCCATTTCCTCTTGCAGAACAGCTGGTGGATTTAAATTGTCTGGTTTTCTGTTGGCAGCACAACTCCTTACCTGTAAGTTACCAGATCTCCTTATGTTGTGATGGTTAAGTGTAAATATACAATATGACTGGTGTGGTGGTGGCGGTGGCATGTTGTTGTTGTTGATGTTGTTACATGCCATCGAGTTGCCTATGACTCATAGTGACCCTGCCCTACCGTTAACCAGTCTCATTGACTCCGATACACCTACCCTCATTGCCCTAGTTACTGTTTCAATCCATCTCATCCGGGGTCTTCCTCTCCTGCGCTGACCCTCCACCCTTCCAAGCATGATGACCTTCTCCAAGGACTGGTCCCTCCTGGTAACATGCCCAACATATATGAGTGAAACTTCAAAAGCGTAGCCTCCAATGAGACATTTGGTTTCACCCTCTCCAGAATAAATTTGTTTGTTCTCTTGGCAGTCCTTGGAATAGTCAACACTCTTTTCCAGCACCACAATTCAAAGGCATTGATCTCCTTCTGTCATCCTAAGTCATTGTCCAGCTCTCTGATGAGTAACAAGTAATTGTGAAGACCATGGACTGCATCAGGCACACCTTAGTCTCTAGACTGACATCTTTGCTTTTCAGTATTCTGGAAAGGACCCTGACGTGTGGCTTCCACTAATTCTACAAGAGGAAATAGCCAACAACACCAACAGCACAAATTAGATTCCTGTAATGTCAAATATATGCCAATGCCCCCATATTCCCTATCAATATAACACCAACCATTCCTCTGACAGCACTTACCACTCTATTACTGTTGTTGTCGGGTGCTATAGAGTTGACTACAACTCAAAGGGACCACATGAACGACAAAAAGGAACTTAGCGTAATGGTATGCATCATCAAAAACTCAGCCACTAAAAAATCATTGTCTCTGTGTCTGAAGCTTGGTCTGACATACTTTGGGCATGTTGCAAGAAGGGACTGGTCCCTGGAGAGGAACATCATGTTTGGCAGAGTGGAGGAAC